TATCTATCTCTATAAATCTCAAATCCGACCTTGTATGGAATACTGTTGCCATATCTGGGGCGGATCTTCTAATGATGTTGTTTCTCTTTTAGACAAGGTGTTAAAACGTTAATTGTAAACATAGTTGGGCCTGCTCTTGCAGCCAACCTTCAACCTCTGTCACATCGCCGTAATGTTGCTTCTCTTTTTCTTTTCTACAAATACTATAATGGGCACTGCTCTAATGAGCCAGCGTCTCTTTCGTCATCTACTAAAATTCATTCTCGTGTTACTTGTCATTTAACTAAGTCTCATCCTTTTTCTGTTACTGTTCCTAAGTGCTCCAAAAACTCTTGTTCGTCTAGTTTTTTTCCTCGAACATCAGGTCTTTGGAATTTGCTTCCTTCATCTTGCTTTCCTGACTCATATAATTTGCAATCTTTTAAGTCATCTGTCAATCGTTATCTTGTTCTACAATCTTTATTTTTTCTCTTTTAGTAACTTCTAACACTAATTAGTTGTTGCTTGCAGCCTTGTTGGAAGCGAAGATGTTAAAAAAAACAAAAATAAACAAAAAAAAAATAAAAAAAAAACAAAAAAAACAAGGGTTTCCTCGTCACAATCGAGCAAGTCCACAACTTTTTTAAGTGTGTTATAAGTGATATGGGCATTGCAGTAGGCTTTCACGATATTTTTGTTTTGTGCTTTTAACTCAGTAATAACTGATTGTCTGACGCCATAACTGACACTGCCATTGTCAACCGAATACGCACTAACAATTTTATTAGACCTGTTTTTATCATTTTACTAACAGCAACTGAGCACTCGTCATTTTGCTCATCAAACACAATTAATTTTTTGTTAACGCCACATTCAATATTAAAAAATTGTACACATATTGGAAACATTTTTCGATTTTTTAAGTTTGATGCATCATTTGACACGGCGAAACACGTCGGTTTGGAAGGGTAGATACTGGTGAGGTCATCAGCGATCATCTCAATTGACTTTAGAGCCAAAACAAATTTCACAATAGCTTCAGCTTTAGTACGTTTACAGGCCATCTTCTAGCATATAACGTAGTCATGGAAAAGTACAGAATCCAACTTTGAGCCACAATCGGCTGCATTTTATGACATGTGATGTTAGACAGTGTGGTTAACTCTTTCCACTTTAGCAGCAACTGCTATATAGTATGCAAACATACTGAATAAACTAATAACATTAATACTAATTTACTAAACAAATTTAATGATGTAATTTAGTATTTAATTCAATTTTATTTTATTTACAGTTTTTAAGTGACTAGGCTGACTTGAGAGAGAGAGGCTGAGATGAGACTCCTAAGTTAAGTTTTGAGTGCAACTTACCTGTTTGTCTAGGCCGGTAACTGTAGATTTCATGAAGTACAACACCACTGACAAATAACGGGCAGCATTCACGTTTCCCTTGTGGAAATTGTAATTTGAATGAATAGTCAAATTGATGCGTCCGCCATGTCAAATTCCAAAGTTTTGGTTAAAAAAGGTGCTCTTAACTTCAAACATATTTCCTGGCACTCGACGACACCAATCGAAATTGAACTCCCACATTGTTTGAAATCAATTCAATTGCTTTACTTTCTTTTTTTTAGGTAAAACTTTCCATTGAAGAACTTCGTTTAGCTTTTAACATGCTTCAGACAAATAAAAGTACAGGGCTTGATGAAATTAATGCAAATGTTTTAAAAGGTGTCCTTGGTATTATTGATTTGCTTCTTTATATTATTTTTAAAGTTTCATTAAAAAACGGGGATTTTCCTGATGAATTTGATGATAAAAACTTGCTAAATTAACTCCAATTTATAAAAACGGCGACAATTCTTTAATAGAATATATAACTTCAGTGATAAAAAAATTATTTTACACTCTAAACAGTTTGAGTTTCAGGGAAGTCATTGCACTGAGCATGCTGTGATGGATTTGGCTAGCATTATTTTTAAAGGATTTGATGACAATAATTATTCTCTTGGATTTTTTGTTAATTTGTCGAAGCCATTAATACTGTCGATCACGAAATCTTCTTCTATAAATTAAAAAATTATGGAATTCAAAATTCAAATATAAAATGGAGTTAGTATTTTCTACAAAACATATGTTGACGTAAACAATGCGTGATCTATGATTTAACTTGTACGCAGTTAGAAATTATTAGTCGTGGTGTCCCTCAGGGCTCAATACTTGGTCCTCTGCTGTTTTTCTTATATAATAATGACATCACTTATCCTCTAAAATCCTTAACTTTGTTCTTTTTGCTGATAATACTAATTTTTGTTTTCGGGGTCTAATTTGAAATTTCTTTTTTCTACTGTGAACACAGAGCTAATAAAGCTCAATGATTGGTTTAAAGCCAATAAATTGTCCGTTAACATTGATAAAACTAAATACATACTGCTCACAAAACCTTCGAAAACTGACAACATAATCCTGAAACTTCCATATTTGTTTGTAAACACCATTAAAGTAAAGTAAGTTCATTTGACGATCATTTAATATGGAAGAATCATATCCAATTAGTGGAAAACAACATTTCAAAAGCTCTTTCGATTCTTTTCAAAACAAAGCACCTTTTGAATATAATGGGATTAAAAAGCTTGTATTTTTTTATCTATTCATAACCACATTTGTTATTGCAATAAAACGTGGGCAATTAATTATTCATCTTCTTTAAAAAAAAATTATAGCAAACAAAAGCAAGCAAGCCTGTTAATTTTGAATGCAGGTAGTTTTTGTTCACGTAAAGGTGAGTTATTACTGGGTAAATTGATTATCTTAACGTGAAGAAAAGTTTGTGCAAAACGGCTGAAGTTTTTATTTACGTATTTATTCACATTCGAACTATTATTAACATAATTATGAAAAACCAATGATTTTGGTTAATAAATATACGTTTGGTAAATAAAACATACATAAATACCAAATACAAGTATGTCCTTCTTTATATCACATTAGAATGTTAAATTTTGAAACAACCCCCTGAACTTGTCAACCTAAATTAAGGGTAAGGAAACAAAAATAATAAAAATTACTAGTTTTTTGCCCTCACATTTGGAGTAGAGATGGTAATTGTTTTAGGGTATTTTTGTATCCACCTTCTTAACCAACTTAGACATTGTTTTTACGCTACAGTTCGAGTTATATTATACAGTGGGTATCGAGGTATATTATACAGTGTTTTTGGTCAGTAGACATACGTGACCCAGGTGCTTTCTGTTTGTCTAAAATTTTCAAATCTGCCTAATTATTTTGTTAAAAAAACATAGGTTGTTGTTTTCCTATTTACTGGCTGTCATAACCCGTACGATACTGGTCGTGGTAGGTCGTTTCTACACTTGACCTTTTCTAAACATGTTCTTTTGATTTACAAATAAAATACTATACTTTAAAATTGTACTCACTACAATATTTTTTACATAATAAAAGTACCTTAACATTTAGGACAGTTGCGTAACATTTCTTTAGGTGTTTTTGGAAATTTATGCTATAATAAGATTTATTTAAAAACCAAACTTGGACAATGAAAAACTGGCCAAAATGACCTAGTTATTTTAAATAAGTTGGCTTTGTGTGTTTGTTATTTTTTATTAAAGCTTTTCTGTAAATAATACTCTGAACAAATTTTTTGAATTTACTGTTTTTACTGCCGAGTTCGGCAAACAAATTATCCAACCTGTTGTTTGAGCCAATAATCGATACTTTAATCAAATGAAAACTTCTAGAACACCAGGTGATAAAAACATAAATGTTTATTATTCACATAATGTATATATATATATATATATATATATATATATATATATATATATATATATATATATATATATATATATATATATATATACATATATATATATATATATATATATATATATATATATATATATATATATATATATATATATATATATATATATATATATAAAACAAAGCCAATATGGGCGAAATATCCATTAAAAACAATCATTCAAAAATAAAAATATAGATATTGCTTGAGAAACAAAAATCACATTTTTTTTGAGATAAAATAAAAATATAAACCTTTAGAAGATATTATATTGAAAAAGTATTAAAAATACTTATAAAAATAATTTAAATTGAAACATTGTTTCTTTATTATATAGCTTTTAGTAAAGGTATGAAGATTATAAAACTTAGTTTTAGCTTTTGGAATACAAATAACATTCAGAAGATTTCTTAAAATCTACTATAAAAGAACTTTTGAAAATCAGTCATAAGAGAAGGAAATGGACCTAAAAATGGAACAAATTTATTTATTGAATACACAATGTACACATCAATTTGTTATGCAGTATTTATTTACTTAAAAACTTAAAAATGTGACAAAGCAGATAGCAGATTAAACTTTTAGTTTTTTTTCTTAACTTATCTAAGATAAAGTGTAAGCAAATAAAACAGAGCATAATATAATTATCTACTTTATTCTACTTTTACTCTTAGTCGTATTTAAACTACATTTCTATGAAGAGCTTGCACTAAAGTTATAAATAAATTGATTTAAACTTAAATAGTTATTAACTAATTATAGAAAACCTCGATAAAAAAATCATTTATTCGCTTCAAGTGAAGAATTTCGGAAATATTGAAACTTCTCAACCTATTTTTCCATATATATTTAATCCTCTAAAGAAATAAGGTCAATAATACAATGCAGAAAAATAAAAATATGTGTATGTATGTATATATGTAAAACATTTAAATATTACTATGGAGAAAATAACCTCTCTACAAAAAATCCTGAAAATTAATAATAATAATAATAATAATAATAATAATAATAATAATAATAATAATAATAATAATAATAATAGCAATAATAATAATAGCAATAATAACAACAACAATAGTAAAAACACTTCAATAAAGGAGAATAGAAACATTTAAACGTTTAAATCAAAGGGTAGGGGGCGAAAGGAAAGGGGGTGGGCGCAGGAGCTGTTACCACATCACATGACTTTCGTTTAGAAAACCTTCGCAAGCCGTTTCGCAGAAATAGTTCAGTATCACGACTTTCTCCGATCGACGATATATTTAATTACCGAGGGAGACGTCAACCAGCTCCGAACCTTCACCGTCTGGATGTGTGAAGGATATGGAGAACGATGGTTACGCATAGATCCAGCAGATCGAGAAATATTGTTAAGAGTAGAGTACAGAAATTTAAAAGTGGCACCTTTCCGAAAATTGTGCGAACAAGCACGAAAAAATTATAAATAACTATCAATGTTTTACTTGTGGGGCTGAAATTTTTAATAGACAATTTTTTTTATTAACCTTTTCAATTTATGAAATTTATATTTAGAAAATAACATTATTATTGTTTGTTTTTTTTAAACTTATCTAACAGTACACAAAATATTAGTATTGTTTTTTATTACCCATATGTCACGAAATTTTCCCATTAAGAAGTGGAAATTAATTCCTTAATTGCAACGTTACCATCAGCTGCTTAAGCTACCGGGAATTATTTTAATCATAATTAACGTAAGCTTTTTCCGCGAATTTAAATGAATCTGGTATTGTGGTTTATCCTCCTCCGGCTAATTGCCTCCTCCGGGTTATTACAGCAATGCACTTCTTGCCACAATGTTCAAAGATCAGTCTGAGGAAAGTTATCTTGTAAAGTGGATGGGAAGAAACCAATAATGTTTTTAGCTGCTGCAGCAACCAACAACTCACTCAAACGTAAGGTTATTGAGCATGAAAGTGATGAAGATGCTAGCAGTTTGAAGGATAAACCAATTAACTGACTTTACAGTTCTTATGTTCTTATAACAATATGTGATATGAAGATAATTCCATTATTAATAGTCAATTAGTTGATCAACTTATTTGAGACTCAATAGTTAATATTTTTTACAAACAACTTGTCAATCTTTTATTTGATTGTTAAATAGTTATTAATATAAAAAAGAAAAAATGCAATTTAATGTTGAGATTTAGATACATAGATATATATTTTTGCAAAGGGACCCCATAAATACTTATTAGTTGAGTTATTTTAGCAACTGTCATTTTTATTTATTTTCTATTGATTAATTTGCAGAGGTATGTCTTTAATCTTTACAAAAAACTTTACTTTGCAAACTTAAATGAAAATTTCAAGTTTTTATAGACTAATATGTCAAAAAGTCACACAATTGAAAAAAAAAAGTGTTTTGTTAATAGTTTTCAAAATATTAGAGCAATTTTCTTATTTTTAACATTTTCCTTTCAAAAAACTATCTTGTCAAATAAAAAAATTTGTTTTGCTCCTTGATAGGGCATAATCTATGATTAACAGGTACTAATGTGAGCATGTGTCTTTTGGGGTCCGTGAGTTTTTGGGGCCCGTCTACCTGTAATGTAAAAATATAGTTTTTAATAATAGATCTGTATATATATATATATATATATATATATATATATATATATATATATATATATATATATATATATATATATATATATATATATATATATATATATATATATATATATATATATATATATATATAAGATATATAAACCCAGCCAACATTGACAGACGGGTACCGTATGGTTTTTGTCTGGGCTTACGGGAACGGGACTTTGACGGGTAAGTGTTTTCGTTTCCAGACGAGTCTCTTATGGTAATAAAATCAAGCATATTTGCTCGTTTGGGTTTTATCTGGTTTTTATCAGAGCCGAAGAATCTGGTGGTTTGACGGGTTTCCTATAAGGTTCCCAAAAGGTTTAAACTAATAATTAAAAAAGTCATAGCAAAACTTTCTCGACGGTTGCCATTTATAATTCGTATTGTGGTGAAATAAGATTAAAAGTTTAACTTTTATGCATTATATTTTTGTATACATTACATTTACATTGTAATTAAAGTAAAAAATATTTTTTGATGTATTTCCTCACTGTGAAACTCCATTAATAATACGTTATTTTAAAATTTCATTTATTTATTACCATTAAAATAGAATTTTTTTATGCATTTTTTTAAAAATAAAAAATACAAAGTTTATAAAATTTATAAAATTTACAAAGTTTATCATATTTATTGAACATATGTTCCAGAAACTATTAAACATGTAGTAAATATTCTTTTGAGACACTGTTTTCATTTTTTAAAATTATCAAAATATGAAGTTTTGTTTCTGCAAGTGATTGTAATAAATAGTTTGAGTTTAATCAAAATATTGGTTTAGACAGAAACATTTATAAAAAGCAAACAGACGAATGGCATTTAATAGATGGGTTATATTTAGGGAATTAAAAGCTTTTAAATCGTTTTTACAGTTCCACTCTTTTCTATTGATTTTTTAATATTTTATGCAAGCAAAATGACTGGTTTTAACGTAGTTTACCCACCCATTTAAATAAAGATATAATTAGATGTTTAAATGCAAAAAATGGCTTTATAGTTATGCATCAACCTCATTTTTTAATCATTGATATTTTTTGATTTTGATTAAAAGTTGTGCACTTGCAATATTATCAATGATTTTATAACAAACACAATAATAACTTATACATACAATACCTATACTTGTAAATACTTGCAATATAGTACTTATATTTATAATACTGATAAAAACTTTTATTAATATGAACTTTTGCATTCAAACTTTAGTTATAAAACTTTAATTTAACTTGATAACTTTAACATAAAAACAATAACTAAAAAAGATAGTAGTTATTATATAGATTATAACAATATGCTTATTTATTATAATTGAGTTATAGTAAGTTAAACACGATAAAATGTTAAGTTCGAGGTAACAGGTCTTATATGATATGTATCTTAAGTATATCTTGTATTTTGCAGCATGTTGAAGAAAATTTCTGCATGATGCACTCTGACTGTTGATAATATTTACATACTGATATAAGTAAAAGTGACTTTAACAACCAGAATGTATTTTTGATCCATTTCAGCTGAATTTTGCTGAAATGGATCATTACATTTAACATCAATCTTGTTGTTATCATATGTGATGCACCAGCTAGAGCATTTGTAAAGTGTATTAAAGAACAAAATGGTTTTAACTGATGTGAGTGTTGTGTTTAGAAAGGAGAGTGGTGTGGCTAAATAATTTTCACACATATTTCACTTATTTTAAGTACTGATTCAGATATTTTTTCATCAAAAGCATTCTGAACATCTTAGTGGTGTGACAACTTGAATTAAATTTTGACGCGGTCACAAAGTTTTCTTTAGACTTGTATTTAGTATGCTTAGGGGTAATGTGAAGATTTGTCAACTTATGGTTAAATTTCCCAAATGTTGTAAACAGTCTCAGATTACAGTCAATACTTTATCTGGCGTATTGTTTCAGATACGTCATACGTCAAGGTCTTAATTAGATATTGAAAAACGAAAAGCAACTGACTTTTGAATATTTATAGTAAACACTTGACCAGTTTTATACTTCGTCGTTTTATACTCTCTCTCTTTTTATATATATGTATATATATATATATATATATATATATATATATATATATATATATAAATATATATATATATATATATATATATATATATATATATATATATATATATATATATATATATATATATATATATGTGTAAATATATCGATGATTCGCTGATCTATTGTGATCAGTGTCATCATGTATAATAAATAAAATAGTTACAAAAAAGTCGTTTTAGTAAAAACAAATGGTTAAAAAGATAACACTTAAAAGCCATATATAAAACAAAAAAGCTTTTCAAATAAATGACGTCAACAGATTTTTTAAAAAAAATAGTATCTAGGTTTTAGTTATCACGTTATCACCGTCATTCCAATTGAGAACCACATCACCATTGCTCAACTCCTGTCGAACCCTAGCTTTGCTTACTTCGAGTGATTTTCTGATTTTCCGAGCTAGATATTCTGCGGCTACAGATGAAGTTTTTTTTGTTTTGTTTTTTATTAAAGATAAACTTATAGAACCTTATTCACGTCCTTCAAATTTATCTTTAATGGTTGTTATGGCGGAAGCGTTTTTACAAAATTTAGAAAGAAAAGCCCTTAACATTGCAACTATTCATCCATCCGAACCAAAAACTTATAAGAGATATGTAGATGTTTGTCACGCTCGCTTTGCTTCAATAAAACAACAACAAATGTTTCTGAACATCCTTAATGAACAACATCCTGCCATAAAATACAAAGTAGAACCTGAAAGCAACCTAAAACATCCTAGATATTATTATTACAAGCACAGGTTCTGGAACTTATGAATTTCAAATACATAGAAAAAAAGTTCTTACAAATGTTCAACTTAAACCTACCTCGAACATTAATCCTAACATTATTGTTGGCGTTTTCAAAGGATTTTTATGTCTTGCAAAAAAGAATATGCTCTTAAAAACACCTTCAAAAAGAAATTGATTTTCTAATACATAACTTTGTTGAAAATGGCTACGACAAAAACATTCTAAATAATATCACTATAGACTATCTAAAAAAAGATTTAAAAAACACCACATTTTAACCATTAGATTTTCAACCCGACCCCTTATAAAACTATCTTGGGTACCAATTGTTGGTCCAAAACTTCGTAAAGATTTTCAAAAACAAAACATAAAGGTTATTTTCACATCAACTCCCAATTTAAAGAATATTTTTTTTCAACAATAAAATTAAACTACCACTAAACACAGACGCTGGCGTATACCAGCTAAAATGTTCATGCGATTTGATATACGTTGGCGAAAATAAAAAGAAGGTGATACCGAAATGTATTAAACACCAGAAAAATAGCTTTAAAGAAAAATGGTTCTTTTCGGGTGCAATTGAACATTCTAAAACATGCCATGGTAATTCAATTCAATATATATTCTGAAATTAGTTGTAAAATCTCAAGGACTTTTACAAATAGTACAAGTACTAATCTAAAGTAAAAACCTGCAACATTTCAATAAAAGTGATCATAATGACAGTAATAATAGTATTGATAATAATTATAGAAATAATATTAACTATAATAATAAAATGACGATGAAGAGGAATATTATTAGTAACAATACTAACAATAATAGTAAAGTTATTATACAATCAATATTAGATAATAGCAATAATAGTGATAAAAACAATTACATAGTGTAAGTAGTAAACAAAGTTAAGAAAAAATTAAAAAAAGCAATAATAATACCTATTATGTTATAAATAAAAATAACAATTTACTAGTAAAGATAGAAAAATATTATTAATATCAATATTAATAATAACTATAAAAATCTGAGAACAAAAAGTTAATAATAAAACTAGTAGGTATCAAGAGAGTAGTAATAATAAAAGCATAACAACATATCTCAGAGGCTTCAGGTATAAT